CAGGTGTTTAAGCTGGTAAAATAACAAGGGCAGAATGCTAGATTACAACATAAAGTTGTGGGAAGTTGATATTCATGTACCTCTCTCGTAGGATGTTATGGAATCTGTGCTGAGAACAAGTACGAAAACATTTATGTATGTTTTCCCACGTGACGCAGCGGAGCGTGACCTTGCCTGCACGGGTGAGTCAGTTGTTGTTTTGCTCGCTGTATGGATGGACATTAAAACATGGTGGCAGCGATAACTGGATAAAATACGAACCCGTATATCGCAAAATATCGATTTTTGCGTACTTTGGAAGATAATTCAACATGGCTCAGATTCAACCTCCAGAAACTTTCGACTTCTCGACTCCCAACGAATGGCCCAAATGGAGGAAGAGATTCGAACGATACCTCGTGGTCAGTGGAATGAAGAAGAAAGAGGAGGCGGACAAGATCGATTTGTTCATGTACTTGATGGGCGACCGCGCGGATGATATATTCAGGACCTTCAAGTTCGAAAAGGAGGAAGAGGCAACGAAAATTGATTCCGTCCTCAAGGCGTTTGACAGCCACTTCTGTGTCAGAAAGAATATTATCTACGAACGTGCGAAATTTAATTCAAGAATCCAAGAGGATCGGGAGCCAGTGGACGAATTCATCACTTCATTGTACAAATTGGCTGATAGTTGCGAATTTGAGGGTCTTCATGAGCAGTTGATCCGTGACCGAATAGTGGTTGGAGTGAGGGACAAAGCTTTATCTGAAAGAATGCAGTTGGACAGCGAACTGACTTTGGAAAAGGCGGTGAAAATGGTTCGACAGCAGGAAGCCGTTCGACAGCAGCAAGTCGACCTGCAGCGTCCCTCAACAAGCCAAAAGGTCAATCAGGTGAAGTTCAACTCGAAGAAGCAATCACCGAAACAACAACAGCAGCCTTCGAGGAAGAAGGAGAAGTCAGCCAAAACAAGATCACGATGTCCAAAGTGCGGAGGTTTCACCCACAGGGAAGGACAGGCTTGCCGTGCTGAAGGACAGAAATGTAACCTGTGTTCAAAAACAGGCCATTTTGCAAATTGCTGTCCAGATAAGCTGGCGAAGACTGCGGAAGTCAAAGCTGTTTCTGAACTTGATGAAGAAATTGGTTTTCTCCTGGAGGTCTCAGCTGCGGAGGATTCATCTAATCTCGATGATGATGAAGGCGAGTGCAGGAGGCGATGGACAGCAGAAATCCAAGTGAACGGGAAACAGGTGAAGTTCAAGCTCGACTCCCAGGCGGATGTTACATGTGTTCCTCTGTGTCTCTTCAAGAAGATAATGGGACAGCAACGACTAGTGGAAAGTGATATCAACCTTAGAGCTGCTGAATTTTCCGAACTTCAGACTGTGGGTATGTTTATATCAACTCTGCGAAATGACAATTATGAAATCAAGGAGAAGATTTATGTCATTCGTCGTTTGAGTGAACCTCTTCTGAGTCGCCGGGCATGTGAGCTCTTGAACCTGGCGAGGCGGATTGAAGTGGTTGCGACGAGAATTAACCCAATCGAGGAATTCCCTGAAGTATTTGAAGGACTGGGACAGATCGGAAACCCTTACGAAATCAAATTGAAACCTGGAGCAAAACCATATGCTGTGCATACTCCTCGACGGGTACCAAAACCTTTGATGGAAAAGCTCAAAACAAGATTGGAAGAGCTCGAGAAGGCTGGAATCATAGCACAAGTTAACGTTGCGACTGAATGGTGTGCACCGACTGTGATTGCTGGTAAACCGAATGGCGACATACGACTCTGTGTGGATCTCTCAAGGCTGAACGAACATGTACAGCGCGAAGTGCATCCCATGCCAGTGGTGGAGCACATGCTGGGGCAACTGGGGGAAGCAAGATTCTTTTCGAAACTGGACGCGAACAGTGGCTTTCACCAGATTCCGTTGAGCCCGGACTGCCAGCATTTAACGACCTTCATCACTCCTTTTGGGAGATATAAATACTGCAGAATGCCATTTGGAATCTCACTCGCCCCAGAGTATTTTCAGAGAGTTATGTCAGTAATCTTGCAAGGCATGGACGGTGTAATGTGTTACCTGGACGATATCCTGATATTTGCCTCCGACTCCAAGACTCACGATCGAATTCTTCGTTTAGTGCTCCGAAAACTGAAAGAGGCGAAAGTTACACTAAACAAGGCCAAGTGTGTCTTCGGAGTGCCAAGAATTAATTTTCTTGGGCACATACTGGATGAAGACGGTATCCGACCAGATCCAGCGAAAATCGAAGCGGTGGCGAAGATGCCTGCTCCGACCGATGTTCATGGCGTAAGAAGATTTCTTGGCATGGTGAACCATCTGGGACGCTTTGTGGAAAATTTATCTGAAATTGTGGCTCCACTGAACCAGTTGTTGGTGAAAGGTCAAGACTTCGTTTGGGATTGCAGCCAGGAGCGAGCATTCCGAAAGTTGAAAGAATTGCTCACGACTCAACCCATCTTGGCAGCATACGACGTCAGGAAACCAACTATGGTGTCATCCGACGCATCTTCATATGGCTTGGGAGCGGTACTGAAGCAAGAAGGTAAGAATGGAATCTGGCGACCTGTTGCTTATTCTTCTAGAACTATTACACCTACCGAAAAACGATATGCTCAGATCGAGAAAGAGGCTCTCGCAATTACATGGGCTTGCGAACGTTTTCAAGATTTCCTGCTTGGAAAGCGTTTCCGAATTGAGACCGACCATAAGCCTCTCATTCCTCTATTTTCGACGAAAGAATTGAGTTCGCTGACCCCAAGACTGCAACGTTTCCGAATGCGTATGATGAGGTTTGGATTCGAAATAGTGCATATCCCTGGAAAGGAGCTGCTCGACGCCGATGCATTATCCAGACAACCACTTCTTACAACCGAGGGAGGTGAAAACGAACGGCAAACCTCAGCGCATATAAATGCAGTTCTCTCGAGTATAACCGACAAAGACGAGATGTTAACGAAGATATTTGAAGCTCAACAAGAAGATACGACCCTGAAAGCAGTAGTCAACTACCTTGAGAAAGGCTGGCCAGATAAGAAGAAAATGTCACAGGCTCTGCTCTCTTATTGGCATGTCAAGGATGAACTCGGCGTTCAAAATGGACTACTGATGCGTGGCTGTCGTCTTGTTATTCCAGCAAGTATGAAACTGGAGATCCTAGAGAAGTTGCACGCTGGGCACTTCGGGATTACAAAAACAAGACTTCGCGCACGTGAGACGGTATGGTGGCCTGGAATTTCGGAAGAGATCGCGGAAACGGTCAGAAAGTGCAGTGTCTGTATCCAGGAAGCCGTCTCAAAACATGAACCTTTGATACCAACGAACTTTCCTTCACGACCGTGGCAGAAGATTGGAATGGATTTGTTCAAGTTCGAGAATAAGTGGTATCTAGTCGTAATTGACTATTATTCTCGATATCCTGAAATGGTTCAGCTGGATCGGCTCACAGCCAGTGTGGTGGTGCGTAGTTGCAAATCCATATTTGCCCGACATGGAGTACCAGAAACTGTTGTAAGCGATAATGGGACGCAATTTGGAGCTGCTCGTGAATTTGCAAATTTCGCAAGGCAGTACGGATTCACACATGTCACTTCAAGTCCTCGATTCCCGCAGAGCAATGGGATGGCAGAAGCAGGTGTGAAAATTGCTAAGTTGATCCTCAAGAAAAATCAAGACCCATCGCTTGGACTCCTGGAGTATCGATCGACCCCTTTGGAGAACGGTTGCAGCCCTGCTGAGCTTCTCATGGGACGTAAACTCCGAACGACCTTGCCAATTGCACCAGAGAATCTTAATCCAAGGTTGGTGGACTCTCAGACCCTGAAAAGAAAGGAAGGGAGAAGGAGAAAGGATATGAAATCCAGATATGATCGACGCTGCGGAGCTACGGACATGGAGGAGCTATCCGAAGGTGACACGGTTTGGATTACAGATATGCGAACCTGGGGGATTGTAAAGCAGAAAGCATCGACACCAAGGTCGTATATGGTTGATACTCCAGTTGGGACTTTACGTCGAAACAGGTTCCATCTACGAAAAGGATATGCAGTGCAATATCCAGCCGACCCATCGACGCCGACCTTTTCGGGGGAGGAACTGGTTGAAAATGAAAAGACCCCAGTTGTGGATTATCCCTCTAACGACTCAGAAGACGGCCAGATAAGAACCCGGAGTGGACGAATTGTTAAACCTGTGGATCGCCTTCATTATTAATTATATTATGCATTTAAAGTTTGTAATGTGTATATATATTTCAAATCTTAAAAAGGGGGATGTGCTGAGAACAAGTACGAAAACATTTATGTATGTTTTCCCACGTGACGCAGCGGAGCGTGACCTTGCCTGCACGGGTGAGTCAGTTGTTGTTTTGCTCGCTGTATGGATGGACATTAAAACAGAATCAAAGCTGTACTGATTGGCTCTGTATATGACAAACTTCTGTAGAAGGGTTTATAATATCCAAAAGCTTGAGAAAATATATTAATAAAACAAGAAAATTTGGGAACCGTTTGTTAATTTTATTTCTACTAACTAGCCGAATGACCTGGGCAACGCCCGGGTTTTACCCGATTAAATGTTTTTATTCAAATACTATTCGTTACAATTATAAATTGGCGCCGTGGATGTCACTCTTGTGAAACGTCCCGCTCCAAACTTTGTGTCTGAGAAGCGATATTTTTATAGAAAGATGATCTGGCTTTTGTTTTCTGCTCGAATGAATGTTTTTCTGTTAGAATTTTGTTCCTGCGTACAAAAATATGAACTGGTTTCACCCGTGGTCTCTGCTTTTTGGAATTTTTCCCGATATAATTTTGTATCTGATAATCAAACATAATACACCAATATTGTCATCATCATTTTCTGACTAAAAAAAAAAACTATTTTTGCCCAAAACCTGTCAATTTTATTTTTTATTGCTAAAAATCCGATAAATATCTTACATACATACACTTGACTTTTATATATATAGGGATTAGAAACTCTATGCCTACGGCCATACCACATTGAGGAAAACACCAGTTCTCATCCGATCACCAAAGTTAAGCAATGTCGGGCCTGGTCAGTATTTGGGAGGGTGACCACCTGGGAACACCTGGTGCTGTAGGCTATTACCTTTTAACTCCGCCTTTGCCGGTCCCAAACCAAGCCCGGATGAAAAAGGAGGAGGGGGAGCAGTAACAAGCTCACTAAAAAACCTGGGCTCAGCTGGCCCGGCTGATAGTACCCTGTAAGGGCTCCTAATCCAAGTATACAGGATGAGCAGCGTTTATACTCCATGTTAGGAGCGGCTGCACATGGCGACTGTTCCTCATGTCAGAGGCAGCCATTTCTTTTGGAGCTAAGTCGGCCTGCCACTGAGTAGTGCTCCCAGTCTTAATGACAAAGGCAGACGCATTCCACTTCACCCAGTCATGAAGATAAGAAAGAAGAAGAAACTCTATGGTAGAGGACATCTCTCCCTAAAGGACACTTTGGCTCTGCAACTAGGTGTTGTCCTTTACAGAGAGGTTCTACTAAACCAATTATATACTGGGATCTTGTAACAGCACCTTGGTTATAACATCCTAAAGTTCCAGGTTTTATGTCTCAATTGTTGTAACCATGGTTATAACATCCTAAAGTTCCAGGTTTTATGTCTCAATTGTTGTAACCATGGTTATAACATCCTAAAGTTCCAGGTTTTATGTCTCAATTGTTGTAACCATGGTTATAACATCCTAAAGTTCCAGGTTTTATGTCTCAATTGTTGTAACCATGGTTATAACATCCTAAAGTTCCAGGTTTTATGTCTCAATTGTTGTAACCATGGTTATAACATCCTAAAGTCACAGGTTTTATGTCTCAATTGTTTTAACCATGGTTATAACATCCTAAAGTCACAGGTTTTATGTCTCAATTGTTTTAACCATGGTTATAACATCCTAAAGTCACAGGTTTCAACCATGGTTATAACATCCTAAAGTCACAGGTTTCAACCATGGATATAACAGTAGGCCCTCTCTTGTGAATTTGTTCCTTATTCCCTTGTGTAAAGATTACACAAATTCCACGAGTCGATGCTCCTCAAGCTGTTTGGTGATAAGCAGAGGCCTCTCCCAAAGGTCCTGTTCTCTTGTGATGTTCTTATAACAAGGCTTGACTCTGTTCTAAATGTTGATTTTTTCTTACTTTCAGAATAAAATACCGTAGTCTTCCATGAAATACCATGGCCTAAAAATATGGTTAAACCTGATCTCTTATTAGATTTCATGTCTGTCATCACAAGACACTGATGAGAGACCATCTCCAGGATAGACCAATTTAGCCCTCTTATGTGAAAGTTGTATTATCAATTTTTTTCAACTTCAAATTCCAAGTGGTACTGGCCATAATAATCATATGGAAGGTAGCTAACAATTGCTCTTTATTATAGACAGAAGGAAGATAAGTCAGGAAGTAGAGCCTCTTTTATGAGAGGATGATTGTACAAGCTTTTGGGCAAAACACCTTTTTACCTGTAAAAGGTACCTGTAGAAGGGTGTCTTGCTTGAAAGCTTGTAGATCATCCCATTATAAAAGAATCTCTTCTCCCCAACTTGTGTTTATTATTTAACAGTTGGGAGAGACACGCCATATCCACAATTTGGATAATTGCGTGTATATCTAACATTATATACAATTAACACAATTGAACATTGGGAAGCATGAAAATTGGAACGTTCGATGTCAAATTTTACATATAGTAATTGCAATGGTTCAGCCTACTCCACACTGACAAGCGCCAGAAGCGCGAAACGCGTTCGTGGATGGCTTTTCTTGATTTATCAAGAAATTGGATTGGCCAAATATCAGGGAACAGGCTAAATCAATGTTTAGTTGATTTCTGCTCCACCAGATGGCGCTCTGCCTTCTGTAAAGCACATGTGCTCCTGGTCAGGATATGCCATTTTTAATATATAGTAATTATAAGTAGTAGCTTGAAATATGTACAGTCAACACTTTCGCCTCAAAATATACAGCCTGCAGAATCTATTAAACTTTATTGTAAGCAGCTTGTTTTGTATTAGTCAGGTAAAGTTGGTTTTCTTCCCTTAGATCAGAAGTTAATGGACAGTTTATCAGAAGGTGTTCAGGGGTTTGTTTTTCGTTTCCACAAGTGCATGTAGGTGAACCAATTTTACCAATTCTAAACAAATATGTGTTGAAGTGTCCACTTGTGTTTCTTCATCAGTAAATAGGGAGTTTATCATTGTCTTAATTGCTCTTTCCTGCAAGTGCACCACATGTAGAAAGAAGTTCACCATTTACAAGTGAGATATTCCAGAGTCTTATTTGGTTAAATGCACTTACTCATCAAGTTGTACTTCTATATATACATATATGTCACATTCTGCTTATAAATTATTAGTAGATGTAAATTTTTACGCTGTTAGGAATTATGTAAATATTTGTAACTATATAAAAGGCGCGTGATTGAAATAAATTTAGTCAGACGGTTGATTGTTCTCTCTTTCTTTACGCAAAACATCTGCATATTGGCGTGTTACATATATATACAAAGAATCTTTAACCATTTTTTTCTTCAAAAAAAGTATCTAATGTAGGATTTGATCCTAGGTCAATGTTGTTGAAATTTGACAGTTAGTGTCATTCCTTCACTAACCTTTAATTTGGTGCTTAGAAGTCTTCTTCTTTCTTATCTCCACTCAATCATATTAGGGTATCAAGCTTGTAGAGCTTGAGACTTGGCAACCATCGTGACTGGGACTAAGAAGTGAAAGCATTAAAGCACGGATGTTTCTTCAACACAAACCTCTTCTGTCCTTATTGAGATGAAAAAATATTAAGAGGGCTTGGCTCATCAGTGGTCAACCCTCCCAGTAGTACTATTAGAATCTGGATAGTTGGCTCTCTGTGCTCCAGGAACCTGGGTTATAAATATCTCTACTATTAGAACAAATAGATGTTTATAGAAAGACAATATTTACATATAGGAAATCAATGATGTGTGCTAGTTGTCATTATTTCAACAGAGGGAAAGTGAATATTAAAAAAAAAAAACGGGAAAAAAAATAAATAAATTTTTATTAAGTGGTCAACATGATGTGATGGAGATGATTGCACGAGGGAAGCTGCAACACATAGAGGACATGAGCTTTTATCACAACAAGCTGGAATGTTTATTTACATATGGGCCAAAATACAGTATATGCAAAAAGGTTATACAGTAGAACCTCCATGAGAGGAAACTCACGCTAGAGGACACCTCTCTATAAAGGACAGTTTTCATTTTCAAAATTACCATTTTTACTATTTAGTAACTATCCAGTAAGAGAACACCTCTGCCTAAAGGACACATTGGCTCTGTAATTAGGTGTTGTCCTTTACAGGGAGGTAGTTCTACTGTATTAAATTATATATCCTATACAAAAAGTGGTCCTTAAAAAGAAGCTGCCTTTATACAGTAGAACCTCCCTTAGCGACACCTCTATAAACAACAGACAGTTTTTACCACCTCCCATTGAAAATACGTTTGAAACTACTAATCATTGATTTTTAATTTATACAAGCATGATACCCTTCTTCTTTCTTATCTCCACTCAATCATATTAAGGTATCAAGCTTGAGACTTTTGATGGTGTCTGCCGGGAAATAGTAGAACTCATCAATGGATGAGTCAATACAGTCAATAATGTGTTTTGGGGTTGCAGGTTGAGAATTACACTTAGTACATAGTGGGAAAACCCTGCAACCATTCTGGAAAGTCATTGTCCGTAGATGACCAGACTTAAGTCTGGAAATCAAAGACTGTTGTTCTCTTGGGAGGACAGAACCGGTGCTTGTCCCTCCTGCTCTGTACCAGTCATGTGCAGCATTAAATGCTTGATACCCTAATATGATTGAGTGAAGATAAGAAAAAAGGAGATGTGTCTTCAAAAAAGATCACTGTAATATCTTTCAGAGTTATTGTTTGAATCCTGATATACATGTTAAAAGGTACAACTTCCTTAAGTTTTGTCCCCATGAGTGTATTTGGTTAGACCATCTAGGCTTGTAACAATGACTTACCTACCAGGGACAAGGTCATTCCGAGGAGGTCTTCTTGGGATTGTTGACGGCCACATAGTGGTAGAGCACCACCAGGAGGAACAAGGTCACTCCCAGGACGTTGGCAAACACGGCTAGCTGGATGTCTGTGATCATCTGGGGCACAGAGCTTGGACTTGTAGACTTGCATCCTGATAGGGTTATGTGGGACCCTAAAATACCATAATTATCTGGAAGATAGAGGTTGCCTGGCCGGCATTTATATTTATTTTTAAAATAGACACTTCGGCCAGTTAAACTTTTATTTTCTCAACGTTTCAACAAAAATCTTTTTGTCTTCATCAGGAGAAATAAAAATAAAGCATTTGGCAAGGCGTTAAAAATTTCTGACAGTGTTGGAGGGAAAGCTCCAGAGGAAAAGATCGAGGGGAAGGAGACAACAGGGATACACAGATGATCTAAAACAATGGACTGGACGACACACCTAGGAGGAGATGAAGAGGATAGCGGAGGACCGGGAAGTATGGAGAGACCATGTGGCCCACCCTCAGTAGAGGAAGGCATTGAAGGAGGGAGATATGGAGAGACCATGTGGCCCACCCTCAGTAGAGGAAGGCATTGAAGGAGGGAGATATGGAGAGACCATGTGACCCACACTCAGTAGAGGAAGGCATTGAAGGAGGGAGATATGGAGAGACCATGTGACCCACCCTCAGTAGAGGAAAGCATTGAAGGAGGAAGTATGGAGAGACCACGTGGCCCACCCTCAGTAGAGGAAAGCATTGAAGGAGGAAGTATGGAGAGACCACGTGGCCCACCCTCAGTAGAGGAAAGCATTGAAGGAGGAAGTATGGAGAGACCACGTGGCCCACCCTCAGTAGAGGAAAGCATTGAAGGAGGGAGATATGGAGAGACCAAGTGGCCCACCCTCAGTAGAGGAAAGCATTGAAGGAGGGAGATATGGAGAGACCATGTGGCCCACCTTCAGTAGAGGAAAGCATTGAAGGAGGAAGTATGGAGAGACCATGTGGCCCACCCTCAGTAGAGGAAAGCATTGAAGGAGGGAGATATGGAGAGACC